ATAATGTTCCTCTAAAAAGCAAATATTAAGGTTATGCCATATCTACTTCTGCTATACTAATGTCCTTCTCATTATACAATGTTCATGAAGAATCTTAATTAAGATTTATATTACAAAACATCTTCAACTTGGCTGAGAACTTTCACTTCAGCTAGAAAGATAACATCTTGTGATGCTTTCATTGTGGTTGTCATTTTTGTTTTAAGAGATATTGAGAGTTCATACATCTTGCTGCATTTTGCAGACTTATCACCAATTTCTGTTCTCCCTCATCATCCTGTCTGCAGCTTTTAATCTAATTTTCAGCTACCCTAACCCACTTCTAAAGTCTTCCAGTGCTTCCTCTGTTAACAAGTTAGTATTTAGGGATTTATTCCTACCTATTTCCCAGCTGCAATTCACCATTGACATTATTCCGGCCTTTTTATACCTGTTTCTCAAGTGGTTTACCTACGTAAATGCTTCAGGTTCCTTCGGGTACCAAATTACACCCATTGATCATAACCTTTGTCTGATTCAAGTACCTTAGATCCTTTAGCATTTGAGGGATCTGAACAAATCTTACCACATAATTGTGCTAAGGGGTGAAAGCCTGTATTTTACGTTTTGTTAACTAAACACCAAAGGTAGACATTTTCATAGATACTACTGTTACCAGGAATACTTCAAGAGTGCAGATCCATGTGGAAAGAAAGGTTAATATTCTCAAAATGGTCTGTTAAAAACAGTGACCCACTGATTCAGATGGGCCAGTAACACTTTGTACGAGGAGAAGGGATAAAACATGCAAGGCAGTGACTGGAGAGCATGGCAGCAAGGACAGGTTACTCTGTTAATGTGAACCAAGAAGTGGATTCACAGAAGTTCTAAAACCCACCACTAGTAACATCTATTAGGTAGCAGATAAGGAAGAATAAAAGGATGGTGATGTAATGAGACTGAACAGCAGAGGTTCATTAAAAGATGCCACTTATTCAGTAAACCTACAGTGCAGTAAAAACAAGCTGAAAAGTCCTTGACTTGGTTAAGTCCTACTCAGCAACAGCTAAAACATGTGTGTTATCAACAGTATTCTCATCCTAAATACAAAACACAGCACTGTACCAGCTTCTAAGAAGAGAATTAACTTTATCCCAGCCTAAACCGGAACAAATTATAAAGGCTTGAGACTGAAATGTTCATCATTTTCTAGGGAATCTCTCAGTCATCACCATCTATTATGCTTTGGCTCACAGTACTTATCGCTATGAGTGTCTGCAAACTGGATTCCTTCTGGAAGAGTCATCCAAAAGGCACACTCTGCAATATTCGCTCTATCTGCTAATGATCAGTCCAGCCATACTGTGCAACTGAAACCAGGTCAAAGCAAAACTCCCAAAACATGCAAGTCTTCAACACCATGTACTCAGCATCAGCTGCTGGATCCACTCCTACCATGCCACGACGGTACCAGCTGCTCTCACGATTCCCCTTACTGGGGCAGAGCTCCGCACCTCAGCAGAGCACTTTGTGACACCCAGCTTGTGAGCTCCTCTCATCCTTCTGCAGAATGCCCATTAGTAAAGTTCACTTTTTCATTAGGTCTTGAAAGGCTCTGAAGTCAGAGACTGTTTCATGGGTTTTGATGCTAGCAATTCAAAAAGATCACAGGCTATGGGCCACCATTCCTTTTCAAACATCCGACTCTATATTGAACTGTGGTACATTTAAGATCAGACGGTGTGAAGAAGAGCACTTCCTACATGAGCACCAGGGCTGCAGAGTTCTTTGTCACAGTGCATCCCCTCAGAAATGCAACCAAATATTTTCTTAGTATCTCCTTTACTGACCCGGACTATACAGGTGTCTTGACCAGAACAATTTCAAACTTCAGATGTTTGTGCATTTCCTGTTGTTTTTTTTTTTCTCAAGTAACAAAATGTAACAAAACTTACTTTAAAGATCCACTTAGGAGAGTTGATGCTTGCAGAGAGATTCACCTGCAATGCTTTACTGCAGAAAGACATTTTCTTTTCAACTTGTAAAAGAACAGGATTTGGAATTTTCTGAGGTTTTGTTTGGTTATTGGTTTGATTATTAGTTTATTTGGTTCATTGTTATTTTTGACTACTGCATAATCATATCAGGTCATTTGGTTTTCAGAATCCTTGTGACTAAATATAAGTTTTAACAGCACTACTACAATGCAGGAAGTATTTCAAATGAACAATTTACATATTCTTAATGACTTTGACTTTCTAATTTCAAACAGCTCTATAATCAAGGAAGAAGTGATTCTTAGTGAATTTACAACACAGTAAGAGTTTAAAGCTCCTTGATGTCCAACTGCTCAAAAGAAGGATTCTCATTTTGAGTTCTTCTACATTATTCTGCTTTCAAAGAAAAATCAAATTGTTCAAAAATATGTGAAATATGAAAATTACAATTTTCTTCAAATAGCAACAAAAGCATTAATTTCAATCTTCTGCTACTTACTTGCAGCTGTATACTATAATTTGTATATTTTTCTGTTATATATTCTTTTATAGTCCTCCTGACAGGTAATAAAAGGGAACAAAATACAGTGTAAAGCAATTTGTAGCACTATTACTCAAGAGAGGTAAACAATAATGAAGCAAACCAATGAAGGACAAAGGCTGTGTCACAAACTGTTATGTTTGTTGCATTTCACGTTAAGTTTTTACATTCAGAGGATTTCTGCAGTTATATTCTCTCCCTTTTAATAGAGACTTATTTTTTGAATTTTATATTTGAAATCCTAAAAATAACTTTATGCTGCTAATGTAGCAATCCATTGTGAGGCGCTGGCACAGGGTGCCCAGTGAAGCTGTGAATGCCCCATCCCCGGCAGTGTTCAAGGCCACGTTGGATGGGGCTTTGAGCAACCTGGTCTAGTGGAAGGTGTCCCTGCCTGCGGCAGAGGGGACTGGAACTAGATGATCTTTAAGGTTCTTTCCAACTCAAACCACTCTATGAGTGTAGAATACATGAAGCAGCTCATTCCCAATATAACAGATCTCAAAATACACATAAAGCTCAGAAAGTAAGAGCTAGGAGTTTTATTCACACAGCCAGTGACAATGTCTACAAGAGTAGGCTTAGGGCACAACTGAATGTTTCTACTGAATCAGAAATTACAATTTCTCTTGGCTGGGAAACACTACCTGCATTCAGTTCCTCCACCACCTCCCAGCTGTTTCACTTAGGAACATAAATCTCATTGTAGAACTGAAACCATTTCACTTCTAGTAAAAGGATCCATAAGGATCCATGATGTCTACTAAGGCACTTCCAACTCAGGTATTCAGTAACAGAAAATTAGAGGACACTTACCACTTGCAAGGACACTTCAAAACCCTAAAGTCAAGTAGACATGTGTGGAAGTGGACTTCCACACATCAGGTAGGGCGCTGCCAGGAGCTTAACCAACAGGAGAAACCAAGCCAGTGGTTGTTTGTAACTCCTTGTTACTTGGGCCAAGAACCAACAGCACCCTGCAGGATTGAGGTGCTGAGCCTTTGCTCAGGGTGGACTTCTACAACTCCTTTGAATATACAGTATCCAAAGAAACCCCTAAATAAATTGAGGAATAATTCAAGGAAGAGAAAAGGAACAACGAATCCTGGCAGATCTTCTTCTAACAACAAATGACTTGTTTTAATTTTAAAGCTTGATGTTGCACTGGCCCTGTGTAAGTTATGTGCCTTTAAGGGAACGCTCTCATATAAGTCAAAGATCTACAGTTAGCCCAAATTCTTAAGCTTAATCAGTCTTTAGCCCAGTCACAACATTAATAGTCAAAATCAGTAACGATTGTAGAGAAAACCTCTGACATAAAACAACTGGCAAACGTTACTTATTCGTACACTCCCTTGAATCTATCCCTGTCTGTATGCACACACCTTTCCACTGCCCATCATGGTCCTGGGATCAACAGCAGTAAGGGTCCCACGTTGTTCATCACAAGTAGTAGGATGCCAGTGGTGGGGATTGTTGCTTCTTCTCTCCATAATCCACCTGGAAAATTCCACATTTCCAAAAACATTCTGCTCCTTGTTCTTCCTTCACTGGTCTGGCAGCTCCACATAACAGCCAAATAGCGTGGTTTACTCATATATCAGCTGTACTTAGAGCTTCCACTTACTGCATGGTGACCACTGCTCGACTGAATGCTGTTCACGTGCTAGGTAACACAGGATTTGGGAAATGGGTGGAATTTAGGTGAACTAAAGCTGCTAAGCTAAACAGTTGTTTAGCTTAGCAGGATACTGGAGTCTGCAGCCACACTCAGGCATTGAAGAAACTTGAAAAAGGAACATACACTAATAAGTTTTTAGCTTCTTCAAATGAGTCAGATGGTAGAGTATGAGCTTTCTGGATTACCTTCTTACACACAGGCATCTAAATTCCGCTTATGTTCAAACACTAAAACCAGCTCTCTAAATTTAGTTTCAAGGTACACAAATTAGGAAGCTGACTTCCCTCAGCTCCTCATGCAGAAAAAAGACAGAATCCTCCAGAAGGTAATTCTGATCATAAGAACTCCTATATAATTACCATTCAAATATGGCTAAAAAATCCCCAAACAAAACAAAAAAAAACCCACAAACTTTTGCTTTACAATTTATTTATTAAGAAGAAATACATAAAAGTGACCACAAAACGGGATAAAAATATTTAAACATTTTGAAGAAACACAAAAAAGGTAAATCAAACAAATATCACATAATTGTGAAGGAACTTTCATTTCCCATCCATCTACATGCCATATAAAACATTATCCTAAAGCAGCAAGAGTAAGTACTGGATTAAATTACAGCTTCAGTACCTATCTTGCTTTTCTTCAGCCTATACAAAGCAAAAAATGCCTGTTTCTTCCAGGAAGTGAAGTGCATATTCCTTAGCATAGGGAAAAATCCAGCTATAGAAGGGAAAGAAAGAAAACCAACAAAAAACCAAACCAAGACAAACAAAACAAAAAGAACAAGTAATATAGCTGCTTAGTCTTCAGCGAAGTATTCATCCAGGCCCTCCAGTTCTGCATCAGCTGTTGCATTTGAAGAGGTGGGAGCAGAATTTGAATTCATGCCTTCCTGATTATTATTTTTTTGTTGAGGGTTTCCTGAATTACTTAGTTCCTTCTTTAGTTCTCTACCACCACTTAACAGCCTTTGACTCTCTGTAAAATACTGATTAGGATGACTCAAAGAAAACCCAACGTCATCAACCTGCACATAAAACAAAAGGAACACTGAGTTATATTTATTTCAAAAGTAATCTTTTTCACATTCAAGGACAAGTTAATTAGCAATTTTGTACGTTCTGATTGTGTTGAAGAAGGTGGCATCTCCTGTAAATACTATCCCAGTAAATATTAGCATGACACAGATTTACTTTCATCGCAAAATGTCTTCCTTCGTGTTAAAAGAAGGAAAACGACTGCTTTGTATATTCATACAATATTTCACACTGTCCTTGCTACAGTAAAGTAACACCCCAAAACATATAGAACAATGCAAGTTAATGGCATATCTTTACACATGTAGGATAATCAAACTTACACCTTAAACCAGCATTTCCCTACCTAAAAGAGGGACTGAGACAAGCCTAGAGTACTAATGGCAGTAGAGAATACCACTATGAGTTGTAACAACTGCACAATATAAACACAGATTTTATGTATCAGTGTGAAACTGTGAATAGGAAAGGGTAGCCAAAACCGCAATATTTACAAGCCAGAAGGCTACGACAGAAGCCCAACAGATCTAACTTATCTCTGCTCTATCAGTGCCAACATCAGCATCCTGAAACTAGATGCACAATCACTGACAAAGAACATTAGTCTTCAGTGGAAAAGAACAAAAAAAATTAGCATAAAGGCAGAATATTTTTATTGCTCGTCTCCACTTACAAGCACATTCTTTCAGGTCTGTTATGATTTGATAAATGAACATTCAACTAATGCTTATCAAATATTTCTAATCAACAAAGCTTTAAGTTTTCAAAGTAAGCTATTCTGGTGCATTCACCACAAATCTCAGCTATAACCTTTGTATTTCTTTTTTGCGGGCTCAGAAGTTGGAAATGCTTGCTTTAACAGATGCTTCCACCTCCTACTTAGGCAATCTGCACCTTTTTTTTCCTGTCAGTTCATGTGAATACTAAGAACATTTTAAAAGAAATACTGGAAAAAAATACTAGAAAAACTTTGGCAAACCTCCCAAACCTGGGATAGAAGAAACCAAGGAAGACCAAGAAATAGATAGTGTTCATTTTCTGCTCCCGCTATTTTCCCTTTTTCCCAGAAGGGTGGAGCCAATTCAAGCATAACAAGCAACTCTGCACGCACACAGCGTCTCATGAGGACACATACCGTGGCTGATTTAATATGCTAAAACCCATCAGTTCAAATTTCAGCCACTTCTGAAAAATCAGAAAGCAGAGGATCAACGAGTGTTCTAAATGGCACCCTGATTAAATGCATTACCACTGCCTAGCTTAGCTCCATCAGAAAATGGTGACAGGTGTAACAAAATCTAATTCAGGCACGAAGAAGACATTAGCAACTGCAGTAAGTGACCTTGCTAGAAAAATCTTACAGAAAAGTGACAGGCCCAGCACACTAATTTGGTGCTCAAAGGCACAAAGCAGAAAAAGAAAAGAAACCCAAATCCACCACCGAATTTCATTTTAGTCTTATCTGGGTAAGTTTCTGCCAGCCAGCTTTCATCCATGCTTCAATTTCCATTATGTGGGAACTAAATTACTTTATTCTTTACACTAAAAAGACTTAAAAAGAAGCAATACAGTGAAAACTTGGCTTTCCTAGAAGAAGCTCTTAATTAGCTCTGGATTTTTTAACTTTAAAAGCTCAGTTTTCTTCAGACCAATTTAAGATTCACTTTGTAACTCTTAATTTTGTTCTGAACTCTTATCTCCCCAACAAATTGGAATAAGCTGTAGAAGCAGCTCATTGTATGAATGAAATCTACAATCAAATTTTCAGAGGCGATAGATGTTATTTGGCTAAAAGTCAATTTACAAGTTGTTAGTTAAAATTGTAGTGTGATTCTACTTACCATTTCCCCTTTGCAAACCTGAATACTACTAAAATAAAGCTCTACTGGATGAAGCTTAGATGATTCTATTTTAATTAAAAGATTTCTGCCCATTCATACTATCACCTTTTTCTGAGAGCCTAAGGAGAGAAAGGGGAAATTTCTCTCATAACCATCATCTTAATTTGTGATATAGTAATACATAAACAATTCCATTCTGTGTAATTTTCAAGAAGGTTCAGTGAGCATTTCTGTGCATAAAAATATTCTGCTTTGGCTAAAAATACACATGAAATTTGACCACAAAAATGGAGGTGAAGCATACAAAAATTTCCTGGCTTTTCATGCTAGACTGCTTATGTAACTTTATGTAAATTTAGAGTGTTTTTAGGTAATACAGACCAAAGCAAATAAATTTTAAAAGCCTCATCACTTACATAGCTAGAACTAGATTTCTCCAACAGCTTTATCCATTCACACCCATAAATCCACCTGGAATCCACCATGCCCAAAGAAAAATGTATTTTCTATGCAGTCAAAAATTTAAGCTTACACCATGTATTGACCCAAGTGAAAAGGCCTGTCACTTCAGTCAGAATGGGTTATTCCATGTCAGAGATGATACCAACATGAGACTTCTTTTAGTTTCAATACATTTTGCACATACTGACTTTCACATAAACACTAATTTTGTATTATTTCTGCTATAGCAAATCTTGTTTTGAAAAACCTGAAACAATCACTTTGAAACTACAATATCTTTGAGTTTTAACCAGGAACTTTTAAAATGACAGCTGATAATGCTACAGCTAATACTACTATTCAAAAGAGATTCTTCTGTACCAGGAAGTTTCTGATGTGTCAGATGTCATTTACTTCTTAAAAACCCACAAGGATTACAAAATATCAGGATTCGAGAATAAAATGTTTAGAGATAAATATTATATATAGATAGTCAGCCGTTACAGCTGTAACTGTAACAAGTAACTAATACACAGCAATACTGATGTAACCAACATTAATACCATTAGTTCCTTTGGAATATAATTTAGTGACACAGGCATTAGCCAGGTAGACATTCTTATTTAGTCATAATGCTTAGGCTCTTAAAACACTGGATTTATACATGATCAGATTTTAAAGCACTAGGTATTTCTGCAGGCGGTGCACTATCACAAAAACCCCATTTCTTTAACCTCCTAGTAGTTCACAGCTGTAGCGTCAATGTCTTTTTCTGGTCTGCATATACATAGCCAAAATCTCCAAACTGTTTCGACTGGAAATATTTTTCTCTGGTTTGAGCTGCCATCCAATTCTACCAACTAAAGTAAAATAAAATCTTGCCACTATTATGACTGTGAACAACATGTCCCATCCCTGGAAGTGGTCAGTGCCATGTTGGACAGGGCTTTGAGCAACCTGGTCTAGTAGAAGGTGTCCCTGCCTGTGGCAGAGCGGACTGGAACTAAATGATCTTTAAGGTCCCTTCCAACCCAACCCATTTTATGATTCTGTGGTTCTATGATTACTGTGACTATTTACGTTGGGTTACGGTTACACCGCTTACATTTTCAGAGTGTTATGTTTGGAGTTACGGTGTTTGTCTTCCCAAGTAACCATTACATGTGATGGAGCCCTGCTGTCTGAAGATAGCTCACTTTTACTCTTTACTTCCCCACCAAATGGGAGTGAGCAAGTGGCTCTGTGGTGCTTAGCTACTCTCCAGGGTTAAACCACCACAACTTTATGCAGCACTTTTCCACACTTACTGAAAGACTTAACAAATTGCATACATGTACATTTCCTTAACAGATTAGTTCCTGCCTGAAGACAACGTACTGGACCACACAAATGATGGTTGCCTTTGTTCTGAGGCTGTGAGTGAAACAAAAGTTCAAGACAGGTGTAAAGTTAATATGCCCAGTTTACATGGGATATGCAGAGAAGCAACTTTTAGGTAACCTGTGCTATTTGAACCAGTAGCATTGAGGTGCAAAGACACACACCCTACCACCACCCTAACCCCCCCAAAAAATAGATTTTCACTCTAGTCCAGCTGGATTTCTTAACATAGTCTTTGTGCCAAGCACTAGACTACTGAAGCCAACAGCAAAGCTGTTGCCAGCATGAGTATGAAATGCAGTAGAAACCTAAGAGAGGATGATGGGGAGGAAATGCGGAGTCTTTTAGTAGACATAGTGTGCAACTGACACTGAACTTAGGAAAATATCATAAACAAGTCTCCACTACAAAGTAATTCACAGTAGATCTAACCCAAATACATACTGTAACTTTCAAGAACTACAGGTAACACCAACAGCTCTGCCCAACACATATCAGACACTTTCTCAGTAAAATTTTTACAGAATTGAAACTGAAATTCTCCATGTGAGCCAGTCAATTAATATTAGGAAAATTTTACTTAAGATTGTTCACCTATTTGAAGGCACAATAACAATCAGTGTTATCTTGATAGATCTGTCAGAAATTTCCTTCACTGAGAAGTTCTCCTAGTGATATAACAGGAAAGCAAAGGTTTGCTTGCGTGGTTAGGTGTCACCAGCTTCAGAGACACATCTTTTGACCACCCCATGAAAAAAAAAAAAAATTACTAAAGCAGGACAGAAAAATCATTCCAAGCAGGCTGGTAACAAGTTTCGCAGCCAAATTCTCTAGGAAAATTGCCATAAGCACGTGCATTCAAACTACTCAAAGTGCCTGTCAGTGCTTTCTACTTTCTCTCACTAAAGTAAAACACTCATCAACAGCAAAGCAGAAAAATATTTCCTAGTGTAAGCAGTAAAATCAGATATGTATATCATGAACACATACCATTTCTGTTGCCATAGAAGAATGGAAAGACAGCTTTCCTAAAATACAACAGACGTTGGCCACTCTGCTGATTTATCCTCTGGTAAACATTGACTTTGGGGTCTATAATCATCTTGGGAAAATATTATTTCTATTGAGTTAGCCTTACACAGGCCAAGTGTTACCCAAATTTTAAATTGTATGCAAATTTGCATTTCCTTCCAGATTCTTAGACTGTTTTACCATTTACCTAGACTGTAAGACAAAGTGTTCCTCTGATATTACAGCTGCCAAAACAACACTGGATATAGGTTCAGAGTATACCCTTACTATATATTCATGCAAACGACTGCTGGAAATTTGGGGGGACAAACAGCTTCATTTAACTCAAATGTGAAAATCAGTAAGAACAAAAAAGTCAATGGTAAATGTCATTTAATCCCCATCCACATCTTTAGCAAGGCTGTTCCACAGTCTGCTGTTTGAAAGGAATGTTTCCATTTTTTTAGCTGTTGGTAGAACAAAGGTCTAAGAAGGGTTGTGATTCATTGTTTTTTCCTGATGACAAGGAATCTTGAATCAATGCAACAGCTAGTTCTTTGAATCAAGAAATCACATAGCAGACAGACTGTGGCCATTTGCTATTTTACTGTTTCGTGGAGGATCTTACTTTAAATTTGCCTGTGATGAAGCAAATGGGAAAAATCTGAGAATGTTCAACTTGATTTAACAACTAATCACACATGGCTAAGGATGTGGAAAAATACCAAGTGAAGATTAACATTAACTATGTATGTGCTGGGAGATTAGAATTTTAATAACAGTTTTTAGATCATTTTTGTTTATTTTTAAGGTGTATCTCAAAATATAGAACTTGCTAACAGGTTAAAACCTGCAGATTTGATTAAAACCATTATTGAAAAAATTTAATGGCTTAAAATAGGTAAAATTCAGCAATACTGACATTTCCAGGAAGAAAGCATAACTTACTACATCTTGTAATGTTGAGGATATTAACAACATCAATACATAAATGCTGAAAATAACAAAATAATATTTGAAGTTATTGAAATGAAAACTAACAAGGCAAGACAGCTAATGATGGATGTGAAAACTGCAAATAGTCTCTGGGTTTCATGCATGATTTCCAAGGCCTTCCTCGAGACAAAGGCAGTGATTACAGTTTAACAAAAATTCGGAGGTACTTACATCATGTGTCAACTCAAAGTACTTCTGACAGGCCAGCTGGTAATGCATGCCCTTCACCAATTCCAGGATCTATACAGAGGGAGAAAAAGGTAGCCGAGTCAGAAGCAGCACACACTGATCTTGTTGATACTTACCAGGACAAGGTATTTCACCACAGCCTTGTATAATAGCTCATACAAATCTGCAGCACATGGCATCTTTGACATCTCTGTATCCTACTAAAAACTAACAACATTTAGACATACTGTTGTTCTTTAAAAATACCCTGGCTACATTAAGAACAAGATAAAACCACAGGAAGATACGCCTAGTCCTTAAAAAGTAATTTCAATAATCTTAACTTCAATAATAAGTTGAATCTATATTTTGGTAATATAATTGTGGCAGTTATTGTCAAACTATCATATTGCAGCATCTCTTCAGTAATTGCAGACATAAATCTAGTAATTCAAGTGGTTGAAGCATGAAGCAATGAAGGACACAATTTGTATTTTTATTTTCCACATTACCAGTTCATGCAGATGCAGAATAAAATACTACTGTGCTTCCGTCAAGACAATTTAATGCAAATTCTTTAGACAAGTATCTGTGAGAGGGGAATGCTTTTACCTTCAATCAGATTTGTCCTTTTTGAAATGAAGTTATTTCTAGTCAAGCTCAGCAGAATATGTGAGTGAATAGCCTGTTTTGAACACCTATTAGGAAAATCATGCCATCTTTTGTAAATACAATTTGCTTCCCAATTCTACTTCAGGTAATCTTCTCTGTGCCACATAAAGTCCCATTCTTATCACCAGAATGCAATGCCAGTTGAACTTTTTTTAAGTTTCAGCACCAACTCCATCCTCTATATAATCAAAATATGTGCTCTCTCTGCTTATCAAACAGAGAAAATTGCTGGAATTAAGAGAAAGCCTCAGTGGAAGGAAAAATAGTTTTTAAGAAATGTTAATTTCAAGCCCCTTCCCCAAGGTTGACCTTTGTGTCAAACACAGCAATACTCTTCAGCTTAAAACCCTGCCATACTCATTATTGGATGCTGCCTCGTATTTGTTGGCAGATGTATAAATAAATTACATCTGCTGAATGGATAAAAACAACATCACACTGCCAAGAAAGTACTTAGCCACACTC